TCAGCATTGTTTTCGGTTCTTTGTTTCTGTGGCTGCAGACATAATAGTCTGTAAGAAACATGGTGCGGCCTGGATGAAAGTGAAACCAAACTATTTCATGACCAGTTAAAGACTTTGTGGAGGTTGCATTTTTTTTCAAAACCCACAGTGAATATAATAAAAACCAGCACAGTTTGTATGTAACCAAACTGGCTGATTTTCCTTGCTGAAAGAAAATAACCTGAAGCTATTTGTTTGCATGGACCATTAAATGTTCTGTTTGATCCAATGTAGAATATTTGCTCTGATTGCTTGAAAGAAGAGAGGCGGTCTCTTTTTTTGGTCTCAGTGTGGAGATACTTAGGATAAGGAAATCCTACTTTTGTCCAAAGGAATTTGAGGTAAAATTCCACTTCTTAGGAATTTGTCAAAGGACTGGGGATCCTTGAATTGGGAGAAAGGGGAAATTCTTCCTCACATTGAAGCTGTTTCCCTGCACAAAGGCACCGAGTTCACTGGGTCAACAAGGAGGAGCATGAGAATCATGGCTTCCCACCCTGGGAAGCAGCATGCTCCATTGGGAAGTGTGTCCCCATCTCTCCATCCGGACAAAATCAAAGTGGTGACAGGAAGGTTAGAGCATAGCCTTCCTCAAAACAGCCTCTGCTACCTAAGTAAATGCTCTGATCATTGAGCTGGTGGGTAATTCGGGACTTTCCTCCAACAGAGTTTATCCCCTCCTTTGTTTTTTTCCCAGCCAAAACTATTCAGCAAATTTGAAGCAAATAGTTTAGACATGACTGAAACCACATTTTCCAGGGAATTAACTATTAAAATAAATAAATAAATCATCCAACTCTAAGTATTACCACTTTTAAAATCTATGCTACTTCTTTTCCACCTAAATTAAAACACATTTTTATCTTTTCTTAAGTATAAGAGTTCGACCCATCTACCCAGCCAGGGTATAAATTAGGGCTCATTAATGATGCTGTTTTGGGGCACACGAGGCCTATTATACCACTTACAACTAATGCTTATTTCTTCAGCTTACCGATTTTTTCCTCTCTTTGCAGCCCCCTTCATCCAGTCAGTTCCAACTGCTGGTCCCTGTAGGAGGGGGGGCTCTTCACTATTAAATTTTCATCCTTTTCTAGTCAACTAATTTAGAACTAATAAAAAATAAAAAGAATGACTTTTGTCACTGAGCATACTGCTAACTTTTTGATAGTTTAAATAGATTATGCCATGTCACAAGGTACAAGCTAAAACATAGGAAACAAACAAAAAAAGGGATCTGTCTAGCTGGAGTTGATGAAAGTGTAGGAAATGCTATGATAAAACAGAATTCCAGCTCAGAACCAAGTGCTGGATATGATGCTGCCCGCAGAGTGGCAGCACGAAGAGAGATTTCACTACGGAAAAGAACAAAATTTGTTTTTTTCAGAATTTTCCAAGCAGCTGTCCAAGATTCTCCAATGACTGGTATCGCAGGCAGGCAGGCAGTTGTGTAGCCCGCAGAGTCAGTTGGCTGGTACCACCACAGCCCAGACCCCTGATCTTCCAAGACCTGGAAGCCCTTGAACCTGTCCTGTGAAAAAGAATTGGGTGGATTTTGTCTGATGTGCTGGAAGGAAAGCAGCAGCTAGTGATCTAGGGGGAAAGCTGTTTGCTTTCCACCAAATCAGAATTTTATGGTGGAAAAATGTTCAACCGGAAGTATTCTGATCAGCTCATGTGGACCTTGTGGCACACCAGCGTTGCATTGCACTCTTTGCAGATCAGTAGTTTCCATACGCTTTCCCTAGGCCATGGTAAGTGGCCCTCTGATATATTCTTCACAGCATTTGCAATTACTGTTTGATGCTGAGTGTAATTTGCAGCTGGCCAGGAATGTGATCTGGTGGTTTGATGATTCAGAAACGGATGGAAGGATGGTTGTAGACATCCCTCTAGTGGCCCCGCAGCCTCTGGGAAGCCAGCGAGCAGCTCTGGCTGTCCCCAGGCTCAGCATGGACATGGGCGGGTGTACGCACTCATCTATAGAGTTGGGTCTTTGCATGCTGTGTACTTCAGTCAGCCTGGGGCCTGGGACCTGTCTGACATAACTGGATAAGGAATAGTGGGTAAATTCTCCCTCTTCTCCCTTTCAGCAAAGTTGCCCTTGAAACTCTGCACCAGTTCAGGCTGTTTAGAGTGTTTATGGCATGCAAGCCCCGATGCTGGAAGGATGTACCCATTTCAGTTCCTCTCTGGGCACTGCAAAAAAGATGTCCTGGGAGATGAAAAAGGGGTGAGGAAAGGGTTAATCCTATCTCTGTGCTTTTTGAAGTGTCAGATACTTTAATCTAGAGAGGCAACAATTTCATCATCATTGAAAAAAATGCAAGTTATACTGAAGATTAATCAGGTGTTTCAGATTTTCCTGTCTCATAATACAAGACTGATAGGATACCAAAGGGAAAAAAACCCCACTGTATGTAAAATAAACATTTACTTGTACATTCATACATTTTGGCTTCTCAGTTGAAATTGTCAACAAGATGCTAATTTTCATTATGTGTTTTCAACACTGAATTTATTTTGCCATTTAATTTCGTAAATGACATGCAGTAAAGACTGAGAACTTCTATAAGCCCTGGAGCATCATCTTTCAAGATAGCAGAGAGCTTTCCAGTGCTGTCTTCAGAGGATGCTCTCCTGGGGCAACTGGGAGGACCTAGCACCGACTGTGATTGCTTCACAAAGCACAACAGAAGTCAAAGGACTGTCCTTGTTGGTGCCAGGGTTTCTAGAATAAGCATCCTGTGGAGGGTCCTGGGGAAGCCGGTGCTCTCTTGGGAGTCATTACAGAGCAGAACTGATAGGAGTTTGCAAAAGAAATCGAGGCATTCACCCCTTTTTTGCAAACACAGAGGCGTTTGTCCAGAGGCAGCAAGCTGCCTGATGGCAGCATGATGTGGTGTTGAAAGGATATATGGTTCTATATGTGAATAAAACTGTCCTTAGAGGACAGCCCACACTGAGATTCTCTCCATATGGAAACAGAATCCCCAAATCTCATCCTTCTGATAATTATATTTCTGTATCTTGGTAATTTGTCTGTACTACCAGCATTACCTCTGTGAATACATTATTACTTTTAAACTGGGGATTACCTATATAAAATACAGAAGTGTAACAATTCAGTTCCAAGTATAATTTATTCAGCTTACTCGTGCCCATTTGAAAGCCACCATTTGCTGTCAATAAAGCACATGGCTGCATGACTATTTCCAGTTGAACCTCGATTTTGTTAAACTGATCAGAAGCGATTAATTGAATGAGCAGGCCACCCTGGTAATTTTTTGAATTCAAAGGTGATAAAAAGCTTTTTAACTGGCGTTGGGGAGATTTTTTTTTCCCTCTACAGCTATATCATTTTCTTTCCAAATCATAAATGCCGTTTTGCAGATTTCCCTCCTTATCTCACAAAAATAGCTCCCACTTGTCAATTTAAGAAATGGTTGATTGGCATAAAGCCAGCAGAGAGAGGATAAATGCCTGAGAAATTTTCAGGCAACATCTATATGAACAATTATTATTGTCTTGTTTTCATTTCTAGGCAACAGATCCTCAGAGACACATACATAGCATACAGAAAATATCTGGACAGCCTTCAGCCCCTTCTTTCCAACTGTAACAGCCTATATTTTTCTCCATGCATAAAGGAGCCAGTATTTTACAGATTTCATGTGGAAGATAGTGATTTTTAAGAATCTATGAAGTGATCATTTCCTCCAGGTACTCCAGCAGTCTCCTGGATTGCCCACAGCTCGCCGTGATACTTTTCCAGCAGATGTTGGGGTGATTGAAGTCCCCCAGCAGGACGAGAGCCTGCGAGCGCGATGCCTCCTGGAGCTGGAGTAGGACGCTTCGTCAACAGGCTCCCCTTGGTCAGGCAGCCTGTAGTAGAGACCAACCAAAAGGTTCCCTCTGTTGCCTCAGTCTCTGATAGAACCACAGAATCGTTTCGGTTGGAAGGGACCTTTAAAGGCCATCTAGTCCAACCTCCCTGCAATGAGCAGGGACATCTGCAACTAGATCAGGTTGCTCAGAGCCCCGTCCAGCCTGACCTGGAATGGTTCTAGGTTATTTTTAAATATTTTCCCCTATATTTTTAAATCAAAAAATTTGCAAAAAAAACCATATATGAGAGAAATACTGCAAAATGAATTCACACAGATCTTAGTATATGGTTACCGCACACATTACAAAATGACCAAAAAAGTGAGTACGTACCAATGACTCTGATAAATGAGACCCCAATTCTGCAGCTCAAACAATATATTGTAGAGTTACCCCTGTCCATTTATTTCATCAAAAAAAATCAACTCCCTAAAACACCCAAGAAGTTCTGTAATCCTGCTACCAAGCTGAAAACTGAAGTGCTAGTTTACAGTTTACAATTTCTTCATTTATACTCTCTTTCCGAGGAACTTTAAGACCAACACTTTTGAACATACACCAACATATAAAGCCTGACATTTAAGTAGTATTTAAGTGACAGTTCTCCTGACCTCAACTCCTGATACTTTAATCATATCTTTTTTTATATACATACAACTGCAGGATAAAACTTTGCCTTTATATATCTTGAAAAATCTGATAAAAAATAGCCTGAAATATTTTTTTATCTTTCCACAAGCAGCTCCAAGGCAGGCTTGTTTTCTTCAGTTGATGTTGGTCTCCAGTATCCATGTCTGAATAAAATTGGGTTAATAAATATCTAGCAGTAATTTTTCTGTCCCATTTTACTTGTACATTTCCTGAGCTTCAAAATTTTTCCAAAAGGATTTTTTTTTCTTTTTTAAACCAGGACTCAAATAAGAATTATATCTTCATTCATCATTTTCACTTCTTTTTGGTTGGAACCATCAATGTTATAAAATACTGTGACTACAAATTACTTGAACCTTAAAACACTAATGTAGAAGGCAAAGAAGAGCTGACAGATGACTTGTACTTTTTGTCCTCAAAATTTAAGACCAGAGAAGCAGCAGATCCTTATACTTCGTATCAGCAAACTTCATGCTGATAGCAGTTCCTGCACTGCTGATAGCTGCTGTTGCTTTTTGTCCCGCATGGCTCAGGGTCTCATGTGTTTTCTTGTTAGCAGAAGTGGTCTGGTACCATGCCAGCTTTTGCTGAAGTTCTGCTTCAGCTCATTCATCATTATGCCAAGCTTGTGTTTGATTTCAACCAGGTGCTGTTCTTTGGCTGCTAGCACTTGCCCCAAAGTTGAAGTTGAGTCCTTTAGCTTGATTAGCTCAATCTTTAACTCTTCTTTTTCTTCTTCAGAAATCATATTGGGGAAATCAACATCAGTGACCACATCCTCATCTGCTTCATGCAAAGACTGCGTTTCCAACAGGCCCTGTGCCTGTGTTTCTGTCACAAATTTAATTCCTTTTTAAAGAGAGGGAAGATTCCTGAGCTTCAATCTGCAATAAAGTTTTAATACAGTCTGGAGTCTTTCAGACTGGAAGGGACACACAATTAGTTAATAAATATACAGTAATCCTTATTTTCCTTTTGTGCTATTTGGTGGCCCAGGGCTGTCACATTTTTGATACTTTCCAAACAAATCAAAACCACTACTCTGTGCACTGAGACTGACAACCTGTGTGTCAACTTTGGTAATTCAAAGACTGACATTTATGCTTATCCCTTTATTCAGTTCTCCAAGAAAAATCTGCAATTAAGACTCATTTGATCTCCAAAGACAAGCAACACTAATGTTTTCACGGTATTTTGCTTTTATTTTCAAACCTCTAATCACAGGAAGAAATGATCCTGCAGTTCTTGAGGCAAATCTCTTTATTTCCTTCCTGAATATTCTCCCAGGATGGGATAATTTTGTATCATTTCACAGGTGTTTGTTTTACCTGCAGCTGAGTAAGGACAGAGATCATCATCTCCTATAGCTTCCCACCAGTTTGAAGGTTTTACACACATCCTGGGCAGCTAAGGTTGAATCTCTCTTTAACACCAGGGGGATTTTTGCAACAAGAAATTGTTTCTTACACAAAACTAAAGTATTACAGGCGATGGTGATGAGAACATTGCTTGGTAAAAAAGTTCTTCGATGATTTGTGGGGAGTAGCACTATCAAGTAAATCACGGTTCTCTGCTCCCAACTACATATTCTGTACATATTGCTTTAGCATAAGGGATGGAGGCAGCGTGTGGATATTGTCCCTGTTTTTGTAGCTGTTTTAGGAATCGTGAAGAGGAAGTTCTACTATCACAAATAACTACTGGGAAGTTTGGTTCCATCCTTGAGTGCCTAGCTCATAGCAGAGCATCTGGTATTATTCAGAGTTCTTTCACAGCTGTTGTAGGGTCAGGAAGAAATGGTCTGAACGTTCATGAGTATCACCAGGGGAAATCACTTCATTCATTCATTCATTCATTCTATGTACAATTTATTTTCTGGACACTTCTGAAGAAGAACACAGGCAGAGTACAACCTAGCAGATGAGAATGTCAGAAGACAGTCTTATCACAGTTTGCAGAAAGATGCTTCTTACCGATAACAGCATTAGAGATACTGACTGTGTCCTCCTTTTCAAAATTGCATTAATGCCTTTCCCCCTTCCAGATGCCATGCTAAAATTTACCACTTGCAAAAGTAACCAGAAGAGCTACCAATGTCATGTATCTGAAATTTGTAAGACCTTTGACACAGTCCCCCATAACATCCTTCTCTTTCAATTGGAGAGTTATGGATTTGATGGGTAGACTTTTCAGTGGATGAGGAATTGGTTGGATGGTCCCATCCAGAGGGTAGTGGTCAATGGCTCAATGTCCAGATGGAGATCAGTGATGAGTGGTGTCCCTCAGGGGTCTGTATTGGGACCAGTACTCTTTAATACCTTCATTAATGTCATAGACAGTGTGATCGAGTGCCCCCTCAGCAAGTTTGCAGATGACACCAAGCTGAGTGGTGCAGCTGACAAGCCTGAGGGATTGGATGCCATCCAGAGGGGCCTGGACAAGCTTGAGGAATGGGCCCGTGTGAACCTCATGAGGTTCAACAAGGCCCAGTACAAGGTCCTGCACCTGGGTTGGGGCAACCCCCAGTATCAGTACAGGCTGGGGGATGAAGGGATGGAGAGCAGCCCTGCTGAGAAGGACTTGAGGGCACTGGGGGATGAAAAGCTGGACACGAGCCAGCAATGTGCACTCACAGCCCAGAAGGCCAACCGTATCCTGGGCTGCATCCAAAGCAGCATGACCAGCAGGTTGAGGGAGGAGATTCTGCCCCTCTGCTCTGCTCTGTTGAGACCCCACGTGGAGTCCTGCGTCCAGCTCTGGAGCCCTCAGCACAGGAAAGACATGGACCTGTTGGAGCAGGTCCAGAGGAGGCCACAGCAATGATCAGAGGGATGGAACAGCTCTGCTGTGAGGACAGGCTGAGAGAGTTGGGGTTGTTCAGCCTGGAGAAGAGAAGGCTCTGGGGAGACCTTCTTGCAGCCTTCCAGTACTTAAAGGGGCTTCTAGGAAAGATGGGGACAGACTTTTTAGCAGGTCTGCGGAAAAAGGGGTAATGGTTTTAACCTAAAAGAGGGCAGGATTCAACTAGGTATAAGGAAGAATTTTTTCACAATGAGGGTGGTGAAACACTGTCCCAGGTTGCCCAGAGAGGTGGTAGATGCCCCATCCCTGGAAACATTCCAGGTCAGGTTGGACGGGGCTCTGAGCAACCTGATCTAGTTGCAGATGTCCCTGCTCACTGCAGGGGGGTTGGACTAGATAGCCTTAAAGGTCCCTTCCAACCCAAAGATTCTATGTTTCTATGATTCTATGGTTTAGTAGGGTATGTTTCATACAGGTACCTGTGTTCAAGAACTTATTTTTGCCTGCTTGTAAAGAAAATAAAGAGGTAGGTAACTGCGTACAAACAGCTACTGCTGCAAATAATGGAGGGAAATTCCCCCTTTGCAGATGTTTCCAGTTCCAGAATTCTTCTGTTGGAATCCCAGCTGTCTCACAAATACTTTGGTCACTCTAAATCTCAGCCAGAAATCCCAATCTTTAGAAAAGTCTGTATCTAGCTTCAGCCTTTACTGTTAATGACTGGTATAATAAACGTGGGACCTATTGACCTTGTTTTACTCTCCAGGTTTGCAGGTATTTGCTTCTTAAGTTGTGCTTAAAGGTCTGGGCCCATCTCTAATTCACAATCCCCTGTAAAACTTCATTAACCAAATAAATTCTGAAATGTTTTTACTGGACTTTGAACTTTTCTTCTGACAGATTACTTTTATTTTCACATTTGGAAAAGAACTCTTTTAATGTTGAGGTCACAGTTTGTGCACACAAATGTTGTCCTAGGTTTAGGAGCCAGCAAGCCTGTTAAGAATTCGTGTGCCTTGTAATTAAGATCTATCTCAAAACAGGTTTTCCCTTTCTAAGCTTGCTTAAACTTTGCATCTGATATGACACCTTCCTAATTTGCAAGAAAAACTTTACCAATTTCTGTTTTATTTTTCATGACATATGTGCTTTGGCTGCACATTAGAGAAGTAACTACTGCCATAACCTGCTTGTGACATTTTTATGGTTATAGATGGGGAATAAAAAAAAAAAAATTCTTTAGAAAATGGCAGCTGCAACACCAAAATTGTTTTTCTGTCTGGAAACGAATATTATCTAAAAGCAGTTCTGTGCAGGATTTGCATTAGAATCTACAAACGACTGGAAGCAAAACTATTCCAGGAACTTGAGTAGCTTCTTGCAGACTTTTCAGTTCCTGAAGTTTTCATTTTAAGTGCCAAGTTTTCCTTTTGAAGAAGGATACTACGAAATATTACAGACCTGATAAAGGGCAGACGATGTCCTGAGCTTGCATCTTTTGAATCTGCTGTCATGCCTTCTAGGTTCGTCTGCTGTAGCCCCGTCACTTAACCCAGGGGCGATTACAAGAAGTACCTCATTCATGGGGCACGTCGCGAGAAGCCTCGGCGGGCCCACGCACCCGCGGCGGGCGTCCAGACAG